CCATATGAAAAAAATCAGTGGGGAACGAGAGAACTCATCTGAATACACCCTTGCACTTGTCTGGGTGCCTGCACATCCAAGAGTTCAAACACGACAAGCTAACCTTAAAGATCTTCACAGCTGCACACAGAACACTGCACTGCTGGCTTTAACACTAACACCTTTGCCCTGACAATCCTAACTTTTACCTGCAGAACAAGGATCTTGGCAGACTCGGGTGGCAACAAATTCCTCACGCTCATATTTAGCTCTAATCCATTGTTCTTTTAAAACCCTGAAAGAGGAAAACATGGATAAAGCTGATCTGCCTCTACTCTTATTTTTTCACCAGTCAACCAAAGAGACCTGTAGAGGGAAGCAGTAGTTCAATAGCTGTGAAAGACTGCAACAATGAACACCCCATCTACTTACAAGTAATCACAGAACTGGGGTATGTAATAGTAAGGAGGGACTTTTGCCTCATATTTAGTTTTGGCACAGAGGTTCCCATGCTTCTTCATAAACTGAAACACAAAACAAGGTATGGTTAGGTAAGCAACTATAAAATCAATACCATGTCATTAATATAAAACGAGACTTGTGTTAAAGGGAGCACTGCACTTTTTTGCTCAGTGTTGCCATAACTCTCAGTGCATCTCTACATACATCTACAAATTCCCTTTGGCACGATAGATTGCACTTTTTAGGTGGGAGCCTTTTTCGGTATTGACAGTTCTGAACCAGATGGGAAGAAACAAGGGATTGCAGTTGTTGATTAAAAGAACAAAAGAAAATAAGGAGATAAATTAGTTATGATCTCCCTGTGCCTTATTCTCCTAGACATCGACCGTGATTATATTATTAACACAATTCAATTGAAAGATGGGAGGCTGAGCCAATATTTAAGAAGAGTACGTTGATTTCTGAATAGAATATAGTATCTGGAAATATCTGTGGGCTTCTAAACCACAGTGAGGAGTTACTGTGTGCTGTAGAAAAATATACGCTGCAGGTTGTCAGAAACCAAAATTCACCAATGCAATTTGATCAAGTAAGTCATTAAAAACCCCCTAAAGTTACCGATGAGTTAACTTGACCCTGTGTGGCTTTGTTCCTCTGTCCATGGTGGACAACAGGAATTGCAAGGTAAAGGAGGGTATGATGAAATGTGGAGGAAAGCAAGTGAATTACCACTTTTTCCTCTGTACCTCTATCAGATCGTTCTCCCAGAAATCAAGCCGAAGGGATTTGACCTTGCTGATCTGAGGAAGATTGCGATGGATTCCAGAACAGTTCAAACAAATGAATATTCCAAGTTTGTAAGAAGCCCACTCTGGATCTAGACACAAACAGGAAGAATGAACTGATAGATGAGAAAAGACACAGCCACTGGCAAGGGTGAAAAAGCTTATGTGGTGCTTCACACATAATACAGGCTTCACACATAATACATCAAATCCCATGCTATTGTTTGTGGCTGTCGCTTCACTGTGTTCAGCGCAACAGCACCTGCCTTCCCCAGCACCCCTGCATTTGTAGGCTCTGTCAAGGATTATTTGCTTGAAAATGAATGTGACTGTGCAGGCAGCCGAGGAGCCACAGAAAAGCTCAGCTATTAGTTCTACACGAAGCTGCTGTTGCTGAATTAACAACGGAAGGATGTTGCAGACATTGAGCGCTACTGAGTACAACTGAGTACAACCACTTAGTGCAAGGACTTGTGTCTGCTGCCTCCCCTGATGCTGAGGCATCCGAGTGCTCTGGCAAACCCATTTCCTTGGACAGCTGCACCTTCATTATGTCAGCCTCTTCTTTCCCCTTATCACATTAAGCAGAAGCTCCTTGTTGTCTTCTTCCAGCTGCTGTAAGCTACTGATTTACTTCTCACTTTGAGGAGGGTGACTCCCACCTCTACCAAGCGCAGGGTGCCGGCCCGCAGCGGGCTTTCCAGCAGGCCTTCGGGAGCCCTTCTCCACACCAACCCCACTGCCCAGCCATTCCCATGGAGCTGGAAAACCGCCTCATGCACTGCCTACAAATAACCCTGGCGAAGCTGCCGCTGCACCGAGGCCGCTTCCTGCCCCTCGCTGTCCCCCGCCGGGCTGAGGGGAGCCATGTCCCGTACCCCCAGAGCACGGCCGCCCCTCAGGTCCCGCCGATGCGGCCACCTCCGAGGCGGGACCCCGCCTGCTTCCCGTGCTATGCGAAGTGAGGGGACGACAGCCCCGCGGTGGGGAGCCGGCTCGCGGGGTGGTCTGCCCGGGTGAACGGGCATTGCCCGGCCGGCAGCATTGCCAGGGCAGCCCGCGGGCCGCTCGCTTGTCGCCACTTTCCTGTCAGGAACACGGAGGGAAGGGCGGCGGGGCGCTGCCGGAGGAGTCCCCTCACCTGGCATCCCGCAGTCGGCGCAGCGGCTGTTCCCGGTGCCGGCAGCCCTCTGCAGCTCCAGCAGCACCGTCTTGTTGCTGTCGCGGTCCATCATCACCGCTCGGTGCCCGGCGCAGCCCCGGCAGAATGAGGAACTGGGGCGCGGCCCCGGCCAGGCGCTGCCGGGCCGAGCCGCCCCTTCGGGCCGCCTCCTGCGGCGGGTGGAGGGGGGAGAACGGCGGGGCCCGGCCCGGCGCCAAGGCCCGCGGGGGCAACGGCTCCGGAGGAGCTGCGCGGCACCGAAGGGGCGAGAAGGGAAACGCTGCGAGGGTGCAGGGCTCGGGACTGCAAATGTGAGTGAAAATGTGCCCCGTTCGAGGTAAAGCCGGTGCCCAACAGCCCGTGACTTGGTACTCGGTTTAGCTAAGGGAGGAAAAAGACAAAAGTGAAAAAGTAAGGATTTCCAAAGTTAATTAAATCAGAAATAGTGTAAGAGATATTCAAACATTTCTCATTTTACTAGTTTCAGATAAAAATTTGCATAGTTAACTTGCATTACTTTATGGCACTGTATTATGCAGTTCTTCGGTAAAGTTTAGGTATAATCTGGTAAACCCACAGTGTAGTGTGCAGATGACACAATTCTATACCAGAGATGTATTATCACTTGAAAGCACTGACATGTTTTTTCCATCTTTTTAGGTACTGAAGAGCATCGTACCTTTGATCCATTTTTAAATAGTGTGAAGCCATGAAATAAACAGCAGCAGAGTATCTGAGGAGTTGTTCACCTACCTACATAAACTCTCTTTTCAGCACTTACCCTTTAAGAACTGTTTTATACTCCAATGTAGAAATAGGTTTCATTTTCCCCAGAGATCATTGTTGTGCAAGCCATACAACACAGGTCTTTTGCTAGCTGTTGTGGTGCCCTTACAAGTCCTGTCAAATAAAAAAGAGAAATCTCTGACATTTGCACAGTGGTTATTTATATTCAAGACAACATAGAAACACACCAAAAACCCCCTCAGCTGTTGGTCAGTAGCCCCACTGTGGCACACTCAAAAGCTGAGCTTCAGTGTCTTTCTGCACGTCCTTCCCAGGCTCAGCCGTCAAGATTCAGTCCTCATAAAAGCCCTCAAACAGGGCAAGAAGTGATAATCTTGCTTGGAAAGGGATCCTTCCATCCCACTTTATAGTATTAACACAGAATATGCTTGCAAGAACATGCCAAAGCTTAACTGCTCTTTTTCTGTATTACTCATGGGATTGTAGAATAACGTCACCTTCATTTATGTTCTAGAAAGCAATAGTGGAATGATAGTAAAAAGAAAGCTTGAAACTTGACTGAGATGTCAACAAGAACATGTTTGCTGTTCTTAAATTATTGTACACGTAGTAATAAGGACTGCTTAAATAGGGTGCAGAGTCATTGTGAAACTCCAGGTTTTTTTTTTACTTCTGGTTTCACTGAATTCTGTTTCTCAGTTTGCAGACACAGGGTTGCGTCTTTTTCCTTTCTGGGTAGCTGCAGTCATTTGCAAGATGCCCAACGCTGATTTTTAGTTTTTTTTATTACACTTTCATACCATGGAAGCAATTGTTGTCATACTCAGGCAGCATAAAGCACCTAGCGGGGCCCAAAGCATCAAAGGTGGGTGACTTCAGCAGCACTGGAATGGATCTTGTGAAGCATTTCCTTTTCAGCTGAGTTAATCAAAACCAGCCCCAGATCTCTCTTCCTCAAGAGCAACTTGTCCTTCCCAGAAACCTGTGTTGTTCCAGCAGGCAAAAGGTTGTAAGGCTGGTAGTGTATCAGAGTTCAAATAAATCCTCACAAGTGGATTATGCTTAATTCAAACCACCTTGAGCTGTCTTTATGTGGTAACTGCAAACAAGTATCTTATCAAGAAATGAAAGACTTGAATTCCACCTTACCTTTTGGATACCACAGCCTGGAAGTTCTATCAAAACCCCCAAAACCTAGGGCAGATATTAGAACCAGGGAGCCGACTTCAAAAGGAGGTCTCCCATGGTTTTCTCCTTTATGGCTTTTAAATTCCCCATGAATTTCCTAAAATAGTAATACTTTCTAAGGCTTGTTTCCAATTTATGCAGGTCCCCACTGTAATGCAGTTAGATGGAGACTGTCTTTATAAAGCAGTTAGCATATATTTTACTTCTTTTATTTAAGAAACTAAAAAATTATTTATGTACTTTTACAAAAATGGACAGGAGTTGCTTAGACCATTGGCACATCAATACAGCCCAGGCAGATTTTAACACCTGAAAATTCAGATCGAGCTATGGGAAGAGTACGCTATAAAGATGATTATCTACAGTGTGAAAGCTTGAAATAATTTAATGTTTTCATAAGTACTTCTCATTCTTGATCATCTTTAAGACATTAAAAATATAAAATAAGAACAGAATGTACTAGACCTTATTATTACAGACATTGAGGTAAGGGGAGTAAAACTGCATAGCACCAGCCTGACTCAGGTTGAGGAAGAGGAACAGTCCAACTGCAATATAAAGGCAGAAAAGTACATGGTTGAAGTATCTCCAGTTAAAAACCCCATAAACATCATTTTATGAACTGAAAACTTTAAGTTTCAGGAGTCTTACATTTCATACAACAGAAATATCCAGAATTGTAGCAAAGTCTCACAAATTTATTGTTGTACAAAACCGGTTCAATCACAAATAATCAGGCTGAAGTCTTGTCAAGTACAAAATGAAGGATAAAAATAGGACACAATATACAAGACTAGAAGTAGTTAAATATTACTGAAACCAAAGTAACACTGGAATAACTGTTATTTACAAAATCTAATCTCTGAGACCGTCTTGAGCTACAGTAATAATTCCTCTACCCCTGTAGGAGATTAACATGAAGATCTGACAGGTGGAAATAATGAAATTAATGTATAAAAGATATGTACATTGAGGCACAGTGCTTTGTAAAGACTTTGATACCCAGTCCTCATTACAAAGAGTTCGTTTTAGTCAGTTACACTTCTGACAGACTTGTCACATCCCCTCCCTGCTCCCTCCCACCCCAGGTTATTTAACATTTCGCTGCAAATTCAGACAGAAACAAGCTTATTTTAATAAAACGGTCTCTTCTGAGAGAAGCAACTTTGCTGTGGAAGTAGTGGGGGTCGGTTGTTACAAATGGACTTCTTGCCATGGGATACACAGAGAAAGACAGTGTGAAGGAGTCCCCATTGACTAGTTTGTGCATTTCCCATTATAAATGCACTGGACAAGCACCAAACAAGGCCACATTTCCGTGTGGAGAGCAGTATGATGACAATAGATATATACATTATTTTAAATACTTATAGAAATTTAATATACAAATGGCTCTGAATATACAATAAAATAATGTGGTAAAAAAAAAAAAGAAGTTAAAAATCAAACTATGGTGACAATACCACCATTAGGCACGAAGTATTCCTGGTGTTTGCTATTTTAAGGGAAGTCCAAAGACAGACCATTTATCATTTGTCTGGATATTTCGAGATGAATCCCTTCAAGATAATGCAAGAACCTAGAAAAAGAAAAGTGACTATAAGGGGACAAAGTTATTTCCAATTACAAGGCAACGTCATTTAGAGAGACAAAGGTTCACCTTTCCTGTCTAGAATTATTTGACAAGGTATTTTATTATTAAAATTCTTCACTACTTTGTAAATGGAAATGCAGCAAGATTTAGGAAACCCAAAACTTACCTTCTTTTAGTCTTCCCTTGCTCTTTTAGCTTCTCAGACCTACAGATACTGCGAAGAGTGGGGAGGTATTCCAGTATGCTGGCTTGCTTATTACCCAGGTTTAAAGGACTTCTGGAAAATACTGTTCTGACGACTGCCAGCCTCTTCTCTGCTTTTCTGTGAATGCTAAAAAGAAGAGTGAAGTTTTACTGTTTCTTGTTCAAGAACGTACAGTCCCTTTTTTGTTCCCTTAGGATCAAATCCACTGGTTTAAAACTGCTAAACATACAGATGTCCAAAACTGCATCCCAATGGATCAGATCCTGCAACTTCTGATCTTGTGCTGCTTACACAGCATCACAAAGCTGCACTCTGAGAGAAACATGAGTGACAGTAGTTTGCTTGGCCAATGCTCTTAGCTTAATTATGAGTCTAATCCAGGGAGGTCTTTACAATCTCGTGATGTAGGTGAGATTTAGTACATCCATCAGACAACGTGATCAAAAGCATCTGTGGTCTTCCCAGATAAGAAGTGGTGTGTGAATGGTATTTGCCAGAATGTCACTATCAGATCCAATGTACAACTCATGATATACTGGCCCAAATCTGGCCACAGGTTAAATGGTTAGATCCATTTTGATACTGCTTCCCTAGGTACTGACTTACAGAAGTACAAGTCTAACCTATTTTCCTTTTCAGACACTTGAATATGTTTTTTATTGCCTATTATGTAATTTCACATGACTACTTACGTTAAAACCAATCTTTCCTATCCACACTTGCTAGTAGCAATGTGTTCTTTGGTCTTTTATAATATATTAAAGGTTACTCTTTGTTAGCATAAGTTATTACAAAAAAAATGCAGTAATTTTGCTCTGACTTTTGTTAGGTCTTCACCAAGGAATCGCCATGCATTTAACAGCTTCAGTATGACCAGGCATGGGATGAAGATCTGCATATGTTGTACTTGCAGGATCCATTTCAGTTCATCTGTCTTGAAAAAGCCATTCATCTGGGGGCTCATTTTTAAAGTAAATGGACTAGATTAAGGCTACAACCTTATAGTCATGCTGTTCAAACAAAAAAAGTCACCTTTTGCAGAGACTGCCATGCAATTTAAGCTTAGACAAGCCAAGTGAATACGTTCCAGCATTGTAAGGCATACTGACAACTTTCATAGTGGTATGAATGTGTGTAGAAGTACCCAAAACACTCTTAAAGACTGAAATGCACTTCTTGACAATTAAATTATGTTCCAGAAATATTAGCAAAGTCTTACCTTGAATCAGCTGACTGACAGAAGGATACACAATTTCTTGTGTTTGAAATAGGCAAAGTAAGTCCCTCCAGCTGATCATTTTCAGGTGTTTTACTGGTACTCAAAGAGGATTGCAAGTTTTGTGAAATGCTAACAGAACATTTGTTAAAACTGAGTGCTTCAATAGCTGCCATTATCTCACTACAGCTCTGGGAACTCCACCAATCAGTATTTTCTATACTGAACTCATCAAAAAGACCATTTTTGATTTTGCCATTTGTCCAATTAAATCCTTCATCTGTAGAAAACTCCAGTGGTTCCTTGGTGTTAGTGTTCACACAGCAATCCAAGAAAGACATGGTCTCCACAAATTCAGTCAGTGCTTTCAGACACTGAGAAACAAGAGCAGAGCTTTTCCCATTTGCTGAGGTTTTAGTTTGCATTTCTTTTTCTTCTTTATTCATCAACAATTTTGATTCCTCTTCATTCACTTCAGCACATGACACAGGACTATCTGATGGCAAAGCTATGAATTCAGCTGAATAGTTCAGTTCGGTATCAAATAAGTCACTATCATCCAATATTTCAAGCCTTTTCTGTCTCTTTGTCTTTTCAGACTTTCTTACAGGGCTTTTTCCAGAGCAATACCTGTTAGTGGACCTGTTTTTTGAAGAAACTACGGTAGTCCTTTCAAGTACAGAGCCAGGGGCTTCAGACTGGTTTGAAAGAACTTGCACGGGTAAGGGAAGAATAAATTCAAGATTACTATACATAAAATCCACTTTCTTCATCTGGAATTCTGTGAGAAGCTGCATCCATTTGTTCCATGTGTCCATGGTTGTGATTTTGTGCTGTAAAAATAATAATAATAATGAAAATTTATTAATACATTAGACTATATATATATTAAACTGTTATTACAAAAAATCTCATATTCCTGGCTTTGTGTTTATGAGGCAAGAGACTGATTTGCTTGCAAGAGACTGCCCCAGTTCAGATTTTTGCTTAACAAGAGAATCCCCTAATTTCTACAAAGAGATTTGCTTCTAAGATATTATTCATAGTGATGCTTACACTCAATTATTCAAAGTATTAGATAGTCAACTACAAATATACCATAAGAAATGTAAACAAGTCTTCTGAAGGCATCAGGATATTCTTAAGGCCAAGCAACGTCTCTACACAGCCTGTATCACATTTTGGAAGTTCCTGAGGATGTGCATCAGCTTGAGAAAAGTCCATCTTGGAATCAGTAGTCTTTTCAGAACAAATTACATGATCTGCATTATTTGTCTCCTCTCCTCCTGCACAAAGATAACATGCTTTACTTGGAAAGAAACAACTGCATCATGAAATTGATTCTTCCCCTCTTTGTCTCAATTCCTTTTATAAAGGATACTTTAACTGCTGCCTCTTGCTGCAACTCTGAGTGAATATAGCAACTGGAATTGGTTATCCCCATTCATCATCCACACTTTAAGTGTCACCAGTCTGCTGTCTCTCTTCTTTGCAAGTAACCACTTGAAATAGTCTGTTCTTCCTTCTATGCCCCACTTGTCTCTTTCTGTTGCTCAACTCACACTGTCTCACACACAGACGCCTGCTGGGGATGCTCTTCCTCTACCCTTTGCCACCAAGTTCTTTCCCTTGCTGCCTGTTTGCTAACTGTCCAATCCTTACCTTTTTTCAGTTCTGCTTCCTCTAGGTGAATTACTTACGAGCTCAGCTGCAGAACTCAGCTAAAGAACTGCAAACTCTGAGTCGAAGGGAAAGTACTAACAGCTCTCTGCTTTGCCCAACTTTTGCTACTCAGAAGAGGAAACAGAGATAATAAAGTACCATAATGATGAGTAACAAAGAGGTGCAACAGAAAAATCGAACTTACAGTTTGAAGCAGCTAAATAAGCCCCCCAAACCCTACAAAATGTTTAGGGGTCTTCTAGAAAGTTACCATCTATTTCTATGTGTCTGAGAATGGTTTGATTTAATCAAATTCACATTAAGATGGAGATTTTCAGAAAACTTAAATCAACCTACCATGACATGCCAAAGGTTTGTCTTTCAAGCATCCACCTCCACTTCTAACCCAAAACTGCAAGTAGAGAACACTTTGTCTGATATCACAGTTATTTGTGGCTAACAGGGCAGCCAAGTCTTTCACATCTGTTCGCAGATTCTCAGCCAGACACAGGGCTTGAAGGTAGCTCACAGCATTTATCTGAACAAAAATTAGACAAAGGCCACTGAAAGCAACTCCTACCAATCAGACTGCAGTAAGTCACACAGAAGCAAATTATTTATGCTTGCAATATACTTTTCCTTTAATAGACAAGATTAGCTCATTAGATTATAACTACATTAAAACCTCTATAGAAAAGCAGAATATTCCACTAAATCTAAAGAGTCCATGTCAGTGAATTAGGTTCAATTTAGAAATTCAACTCATTAAAACCAAACCAAACACACATATTCTGCTTATGTTCCACAAACCTTGTTTCTCATCACCATTGAATGGGTTCTAGTGAACTATATGCACTCCAAAGGGTTTTATTTTTCTTGTAGCTCTGCAATAGTCTGGTAACCCAAAAGATTTACCCAAAAGATTTTTCAATTTCACATTAAAAACATTCCCATTCTCAAGGGTTAGCTCCTTCTGATTCTTATTTATTTAGATTTTGTACATACTACAGAGCTGCAAGTAAAACTGTTTGCTATACAGCATACTAGTGCTTACATTAAAGGAATAACACTTCTAAAATAGGTGCTATACTTTTAAATGAATGAACCAATACTGGCATAGTCAGCCTTCAGATCAAAACTATTAGATATACCATCTATGAAATGATTTACTACATTCCTACAAACTAAATTAAGTGATGTTCTTCTTGTAATTCTCTGAATTACCCAATGGGTAAGAAAATCTTCCATGCTCATAAAAAAAATTCTACATGTAAAGATACATCCATCCATCTTCTGATGAAACAGACATAGTACATCAGATAAATATAAACCTACACCAACATCTAAATGTCAAATTAGCTGACAATTACATGTCTGCATTTCTGAACACAGACTTACCAAGGAAGGGGTTCTAAAGTTGATTTCTTCAAAATAGCCATCAAACATTAAGCTGAATGTGGGATCTATACAGGAAAATAGCGGTGAACTGTCATGACATTATGTTCAAAAGTAATTATTTTCTCTATCCATTAGAGCAGCCAATATCTTTATTCAAATACTCACTTTATAGTCTCCGCTCACTTAATTCTACATTTAGGAGCTGCATTCAACCATCACCATTTAAACCACTTCATTAAAAGGGACTCTTTTGTCTGCAAAGCCTAATTACTGTAACAAACATACTCACCATTGGTAGTAAGAATTACAGGTCTCTTTGCTGTTGCCATGAATGTCTTTATTGCACTTAGAAATCCTGCATCTTCATCAAATATTATATCTACCTATAGAAAACAAAGGAAGTGCAAAACATCAGCAGCTTGAACATAGCTACACGCTGTGAATTTAATGGGGGCTTAGATACTGTAATTGCTGGGGTGTTGATGGTGACTTTGAAAGTGTCTCAGTGCATGTACATAGTGTAAAATTATAAACCAACACTTTTTACATAATCAAAGGAATTAAATCTGTAGGATCTAAACTGTTCCAACAGTGAACAACTGTTGACAGGTGTCAGTTTCTTTATCTCATACAATAACTTTGTCAAATAATGATCCATGTTTAGGAGGGTTCTCGTGGTGATGAAATCATTAAACACTGAATTCATTTTTAAGAAGCTGGTAATGCTCACACTTGAATCTCCTTAGAAGTCTCAAGGAGGAAGGGAAAATTAAGTGAAATTCTTTAAACATAAGGAAACAACATACTCCTCACATCAGTACATTTCATGTGAATTTTACCTCTTCAAAGAGAATGAGAGATGTTGCACTTTTTCTGTTGTGTTCTCCTCCTTCTACTTCTTTGTTTATTGACTTAATTTGAGCACCTTTCTTTTCTTCAAGTGAATTCTGAGTATTTCCTGCAGATGCTGAAGAATTGAGCAGGAAGTCAAGGAGGACTGAAACCATCCAATGTGCATTGTAGACACTGGTTTTGAAAACACCCTTAAGTGTTAAGCTGCTTAAGAAAATCCACTCTGACGTAAAACCCCAGAAATCTGACCTACACCCCTTTCTGATGTCTTGTTTAAAAAAATATTGCAACAAATTTGCTGTGAATTCAACCATGTTTGGTGAAGGGCTGACTATTTGTAATATCAAGCCTGCACTTCACCTGTTTGTGACCTGTGACATCTCAGCGCCATGGAGCAAGTCCTTCAAGACTTGCCTTCAAGACAAGGACTAGGCTCAACTGCACCACTTCAATCCAGCACAAACAAACACTGGTTGTTGAAATACATTATTTCCTTTCAAAAAGCTTCTCTTTAAGACTTCCTGATCCCATGAAACATTTGGAAATGCACTTCTCAATGTTGAGAGACTCAGAGATTTCAATGTGCCCTTCTATGTATCAAAACCCAGTCTGCAATCAAACTGTTACTGGCTTCACAGGACCTCTTAATTCTGTAGCAGTAATTTTTATACATATATATGTATCTACATTTATATACACAAATAGATACATACCACCTAGTACAAAAAAAGAAAAAACCCAAAACTCAACAAAACCCCCCAAAAAACCCAAACCCTAAAACCAAACAACCAAATTAAGGCAAATCTAGTGAACTTCAGATAGTCTGTACCCTAGTTAACTCTCCTGTAACAGAGAAATGACCACTTCCTATGTAGTTAAGTGTATGTGAGATGCATTAAGTAACTCTTGCTGGCAGTTAACAGTAGAATAAGTGTACTCTATTTTCTCCACACAGCTGCAGGTACACAGTAGTACAGTGCAGCATTTCCCTCTCCAGAGGAAGATTATCATTATCTATCATTAAATATTAACTATCTAATAATTAACTAGAATTTAATAGCAACATTTACCTTGATTTTTTTCTTGAGATGTCCCTGCTCCATCACTACTTTTATGTTTGGAAGAAATCTTGAAATAGTTTGCAAGTGTTTTAGGGGGCAAGTTCCGTTTTAATCCTGCTCCTTTGGGGGACAGTGGAGGTTTTCTTGGTGAAACAACTTTCTTTGGAGAATACATTTTTTCTGCAAGATATGTTTTATGTTAAACCTAAACTGGAAGTGTAACCTCAAACTTCTGCTTCTCAGGCAAATTTAGAGCAAATCCTGGTTTTTCTTTTTTTTCTAGCACAGGACAGGTTTACTGTGCTGGTTTCTGCTTATTTTACTCTTCTCCTGTCACAAGGAATGCTTCTGTTTAGCTTTCTATTCACATGCTATAGCACTTATGACAGCGCTACAGAAATAGCTGAAGATAATTGAGAGTCAGTCATTTTGATGAAATCACTATTTAATCTGGTATGGAGTTGTGTTAACCAGCAGAGCCAAAACCCAGCAAACCCCCAAACCAACCAACCTTCCATCCCAAAACAAATAGCAAACACAGCTCCCCACCCCAATCAACCAAAAACCCCAGACAGAACCATGAAACCTACTTGGCGACTTGGCACTGCTACAACTGTTAAAAAAGCAAGGCTTATGTGCATTAATGCCTTTTTTGTCCACTTGATGAGACTGAGTAGCTTCTTTTAGTTGTGACAGTATCTGTCTCCCGCTACGCTGGCAAGAGGCATTGACTTCAAATATCTGCAATGGGATTTCATTTACATTTTAAAAACATCTTGGACATCTTGTACTACAAATGCTTTCATATCACTAGTTACAAGTAAGAAAAATGGCCACAAACCTTAAAACCCAGCTCCTGAGCACAAGCATACACTGCAGCGGTTTTCCCCACTCCCGGTGGGCCTGTTATCAGAACTGTATTGCAGAGGCTCGTCTCTTCCTCAGCATCAGATTTATGATCTTTAAAGTCAAGGCTGTCCAAAGAATCTGTAGATTTAAAACAAAAGAAAGGATTCACGTAATGTTTGTGCCAACTTCAACAAAGAGAATCTATGCATATTTAATTCCATCAGCACCTTCATGCTCTTTGTCCTTCTCCCCTTTCTGATTTCTTTTTTCTTCCCAATCGGCTCTTTTCTTCCATTCTTTTAGCCAACTATAAAAGGAAGGAACGTAACAGAAAATAATTACTGCTGAATAAAGTGAACCAAATTCAGATGGAATAGAACATACACCTGAGAAACATCAGCCACTTGTTATCCCCCTCAGAAACCTATCACTCCTTTCAGATTTAAAAAGTTCAAGATTTGTTTGATTCTTTTGTAAAAGAGGATTTCCTCTTTATCCTGTGTCCTATTAAACGACTGGTATAAAACCAAGTCACTTGGCAAACTAGTTAAATTGTGGAAAACACTTTATCATTCGTAGTTTTGTGTTGTTTGTCAGATGGATCTTTAATAGCTTAAACACATACAGAAAATTTAACTGAAAAAGGATTGTATTAGATGGACTTGAGTGCTAAATTACTGTCAAAATCAAAGGCAGTGCATCAAGATCAGGACCAGACATGCCTGTAGGGAAGTACAGACAAGCACTGGTAAGCTGCTCTTTCATTCATAGAGTGCAGGCTTGAATAACCTGACAAAACAATAATTTTTACTAAGTACTTCATTCCATCCCACAGCCTAATGTAGCATTTCATGTGTGGTTTTGTTTTGTACCATATCACACAAGCTACCAAGGTATGCGTGCAAGAGAAGCTATGACCAAAGAAGATCATTCACGCCAAGTGACAGTTTGTTTCTGCAGCTTCCTGGAAGTAAAGCAAAACAAAGGTCACACACCCCATAAGTGTTATTCAAGCACAGCGTAGAAGACTTGACTTCACTTCTTTGAGCATCATTAAGTAATATGATGTTCTGAGTTATTTTAAGAATGGATCCATGCTCCCACTTCTGACCTGTGTAGCCTTTCAATTTCTTTCTTGTTCCCTACGAGTTCACTGGAATCTTGAGGCTGGTATTTTTCTGTCCAGAGCATGTCTTCCTTCTCAGCACCTACAGGAGAAGTATCATCCTTTCTTAAACAATTCTTCATACAAAAGAGTTGATCAAGTTCAGTAGAATATTAAGACCAGGTAAGATTTTTGCACTACAGGGGAAAGCCGAGATACATCCTATATACATTCCCTCAAGGCAAAGAGAATGAAAATCAGACAGAAAACGCAGTTACCTGAAAGTGAATTTGGTGCCGACAAATACTCAGTGTCTTCTATCATAACATCTGGTTTCTGGGGCTTGCTTTTTCCCGAACGCATGGCTTGTTCTGTCTCTCCCTGTTTTTCTCCAGAGGTGTGAGAAAAACGTTTCTCAGAAACTCCTGAAGTTATTTCCGCCTCTGAACCTTCAACTTGTTTTCTTCTTTTTGATTTGTGCTCTTCTGTTTCTTTCCTTTTCCTCTTGGTTTCCTTCCAATTGTCAGAATGTTTCTGATTTACCTCAGAATTTGCAGTGCCAGCTTTGCTTTCTAAGGGAAAAATAAATACATAAATAAACCCACATCCTTTTACAATTTCAAGCTCTCTCCATTACAACCAAATAGGGGGGTTTTAAGCCATATTTAAAGAATTTGGTCAAAATGGCCTAAAATGTGAGGACCAACTTATTTCCAACAGCATTCCTTCACTGACACATCTCTGGAAATTCCAAATGCCTTTTTATGCCAGAGAGAGTCAGTGCGAGCTTGTTCTTCCCCAGGCAGATCACTAACCGTGTGCACTGCTTTCAGAGCCTAGCCGTTCCGTCTGCCTCTTCAGAAACCTGTAGAAGTATTTTCTCACAGGAAATTGGGAATTAGAAGACATGATCTCATCCAGTAACTCTTTCCTGACTCTATCAGGAAAAACTGGTCGGTGGCCAGAAAGCTGCAATACACACACACACACACACACTTATATAAATTATTACACAGAATAACGCAGACAGTTTTGCATAAGTTAAATTGGTAGCTCTTGATAAAACTAGAGATTAACAGAAAGCCTTGAGAATTATCTAACATTACAATGCACACACAAATATCCAAGACTGAAACAGACTCAAACTACAGGAGTTTTTAAAAGCAACAGAAGTCCTAACAAGTAACAGAACAATTCAATTTTATATTCACTTTTAACACTAGCCCTCATTTAAAGTACTAACCTCAGGTGCAGAACAGTTTCCAGTTAGTTTTGAATTCACAGTGGAGAATTCACCAAGCGAGAGATTGATTTTTGTGACATTGGTGACTTCAGTGTTCAGATTCCTTAGCACAGTTAATAGAGGACACAATGGTGATTGCAATTTCCACATTGGACAACCTACAAAAGAACCCCCACCAAGAACAAAACAAGAGGAGACTTTTATTAACAAAAGGGAGATGAAGTCACAGACAAAACCATCCTATAGTAAGAGTAAATGCTTTTAACCAAAGCTTTATCATGTCAAAGCCAAGCTTATTTAACTTATACTGCATCAACTTTTTATCTTTATTAACGCTACCTCCCATGAGAAGAACAAATTTGCACATTTTCACATACATTTCCCAGCGAGTTGCTCCTGGGCTCTGCTTGCTCTAAGTAACAACCTGCGCCCTCACCCGGTCTCTGTAGGACAGGTGCTCACCAAGGAGTTTGTTTTGCTAATTGGTTGGTTTGCAAATACAAACTGGTAAGTGCTATTCTACCTTTTGCTCTTCTGCCATGCCCTTCCATAAGGATACTGTAGCACACTCCCTCCCTTAGGGCAAGAAATGGTCTTTACTCTTTCGAGAAGAGTTTTGCCTTTGTCAGAAAGAATGGTTTCTGCCCCAATTGGGGCTTTGAGCACCCTGGCCTAGTGGGAGGTGTTCCTGCCCATCACAGGGGTTTGGAATTGGATGATCTTAAGGTCCTTTCTAACCCAAACCATTCTCTGATTCTATTCCCCAAATAAATCCTAAGAAGTCTGCATCCTCACCCATAAATGCATACATTACTTTAGCATCAATTTAACTTGTAAGTTGTATATTTAAAATCATTGCACTGGAAGCTTGTAAGTTTTGCTTTCTTACTGTGACACAAAACAAGAAGAAACTACTAGTTCATGCTGTCACATTAGTGAGTTTTGCTTTTCAAGTTCTTTTCTGCACAGATTCAATAGATTTTATTATAAAGCACTATAAACACTATAAAAGTTATTATATAAGTTGAACAAAAGCTTACAGTCATCCTTCTGCTGTACATGGACAACAGGCTTGAAACATGAACTTGCAAGTGAGTATGCTTCCATTGCTGCTGCTTTCTTTGCAATCTGTCTTTTCAGGGACTCTGGCAATCCGCTCATCAAGAATTCACGTTTTGCTCTGAACTGATCATCATCTTGAGAGTTTTCAGATGCATCTTGGCTTTAATGAAAATGGAAATTCAACCCCAAAGCATTTGAAATACCAGCCACATAAGGCTTACAACAGAATTTAATCACATTCACCTCTACACAAGTTAGAAACAGTCTGGGAGAACTACTAGAATTAATTTAACTGCAGCAAGTTTGCATTTAATTTTAAATTTTCTGTTACAGATTTTGATAAAAAATTACTTTGGTTTTGTATTTTACATGCAGCTTAGGATTTCTTTTTAACCAGTCATCATCTCGATTTTCAACCATCTAAAACGGCTCAATAATGGTTGAGGAACCCTCAAAACCCCCCAAAATTTTACAAGCAGTTTAACATATTGGTCACTCTAAACCCATAAACATTTATATCACATTTCCACGAGTGTATTTAAATCTGTAAAACAAGAGAATGTTAAAAGTAATCTTCAAATACTTTTTGATTCTTAAGCAACTGCAATCTTGCCAACTGACCTGCTCTCATCAAAGATCACAACTGGTTCACCTGCAGGGTTCTGAGCATTTCTGCCTAGGAAAGAAGGCGGATATCCCAGTTTTCCTTTAAAAAGGAGAAAGGAAAAATCATTATTACATTAGTGCTAATGTAGGATTCTAACCTTGCTTCTAACATTAGGGAATCTCCTGTTCTTAAGGGAAACCTAGATATTTTAACAAAATTCAGTATAGTTTTATTTCTAGTTATTCCACCACTATAGATGATGGGTTTTGTAACATTAAAAAGCAAAACCCACCACCTTAAATTAGAAGACAACACAACATGATATCACATTAGCAGGTTTTCAAACAGTTTTCCCTCCTAGCATACAAATGAAAGGTATATAATGGAATATTACACAAAAAGTCACAAGAAAAGAAGAATGCACTGCAAAGGCAGCTTTAGAAAATACAGTTATAATAGTAACTGTAATCAAAATTAAATACATGCAGTAAAAACATTTACCATTTGAGTTCTTTGCAACCTTCATGTTTCTAGGCTTTTTCCCCAAAACATCATTTAAGCTCCGAAGATTCTTTTGCTTCACATTCTGCACTGTAGTAGTGTCACAACTCAGGCTTGAATTTAAAATTTTTACTGATTCCTAGAGGGAAAACAAATAAAATACGAAACACAACTTTTCCTCCTTTATTAATAAGACAACTTAGTGGATCAGTAGTGAGGAAACTGCAGAAACTGTTAGAAAGCTTCAAAGTTAGCAAACACAATTTGAAGATCATAATTTCACTACTGTTGTCTACACAGAAGTAGTATACAGAATAGGATGCCCAATAAATAGAGGGCAGAACTACTCTCATTTAGAAGTCTAAACCATACACATCTGTTTCAAATGTGTTGCTGCTCATTAGGAAAGAGAAACAGTCACTTCCAAAGCCTGACTATCTGCTGCATGTTACAGATCTGCATTGAAACAAGCATTCCGGTCTATGCCTAGCAGTTACTTTACTATTTGACAGTCACCATACCACTGCACAGTATCTACCTTGTTTGATTCTTTAAAAGAAGCATTTGCAAGATAAGGAACATTTTTGTTGCCTAAATGAATCACCAAAACATCAAAAGAATGGGCTTCCCCTACAAGATACTCAGGCTTACTTCACTGTCTTCTAATTTTTTCTTTTCAGCAAGAGCTCGCTGCCGAGACGAGCGCCTCACAGGAGCTGGGAAGTCTTCATTAACCTTTGATCTATTATGCTGAATAGCCTTTGCCTTCTCTATCAGTCGCTTTGCTTTGGATAGGTTTTTCGAAGTAGAGCTCATCTGTTAACAACGAACAATTGCAATTCATAGCAATGTATTTGGCATTTCACATATTCATATAGTTTTTCACATTCATAAAGATATCATTTTACTCAAATTTTACTGGTATAAAAAGAAAATGAAAGAACTGAGAGGAGGAGCAAACCAGGATCATACAAGTACTTTTCAAAAGGGAACAAGAGCCCTACATGTTCTGCCCACAGAACAAAAGAAATACGGGCATAAGTACAAGCTGTTCTGCTGTGCCCAAACACTGTGACCCATCCTGAGAACCTGCAGAGCAGGAGAACGCTACTTTATTGGATTTTTCTGTTACAAAAAAGTAGATTTACACAAATAAAACCCATTTTAAAAATCTAAGGTACATTAACCATACAAGAATGCTTATGTCAAATCCTAGCATAAATCACAGTAACACTCTCTTTCCATAGGGCATCTGAGAACTGTCATATTGCATAACATAAGACTATTGCACAATACCGAATATGAACACAATGACATGCATATAATAAATGATATAAAATACTAAACCACAAACTGTTACATAAATTACCTTCATATTTTTGGAGTTAAACTCTTCATTTTTCGTTGCTTCAGCTTTATTTGATTTTGTAGTCGCACTGATACGTGTGAATTTCATTCTAATTAGGGAAAAAAGTATTATGAAAGTATTATGTTTTAGTAAAGGGAAATGCTACTCTCAATTTCATTTTCAAAAGCTTTCAAAAATACAGTGCTGTAAACAGAAGGCTAGGGTTTTGGGGGTTTTTTTTTGGCTTTGGTTGGTCTTTTTAATGTCTTTAGTGCAACACATTTATAGAGTCAGCTTTGGTTCTTCTGTATTATTCACCTGTATTCATGCACCAGGTATGCCTTCCAGTCAACCTAAAGTTATGTTTTACTCTTAAACAATTTGCAGGAAAACAAAGTACAAAGGTAGAATATACTGCAAAATGTTTACCTGATTGGGCTGCTTCCATCAAAGGGCATGGTAATCACCTCGGCTTTATACAAGTTACTTTTCTTCAAGGATTGCTTTCTTGCTTTTGGAGTTGAGGTTAGTAAAAGACAGCCACTTGATTCCTCTTCAGAAAAGGTATCCTTAATGTGGGGTTTTTTGGGTGTAACATTTTTTGATGTTTTGATTTGCTTCTGCCTTAAACTCCTCCTTAACTCATTCACTTCTGGACTCGATGAAATTCTTACATCTAAGGTGTTTTCCTTAGTGAGAACATTAGCACCTGAATCCTCATCTTTGTAACAGCTGCTAGTATCAGAGACATTAGTTTCCTTAGTTTCTGAAGCCTTCTTTCTTCTGTTTCCTTTTTTCTGATTCTTTCTGGGGCTTTTGGGTTTAGTTCCATTGTTTTTAGGACTAGAATCTTCTGGTACTCCGCTTTCTAATCCTTTATTTGAAGCAATGTCATCTTCAGGTCCTTCTTTTTCTTTTGCAGACTTTCCAATGGCTTGCTTTTGTTTTCCAGGTGCCTTTTTAATGCCACTTTTTACTACATCTGATGTTGGTTGTCTGAACACCTTCATAAACTGATGCCTTTCTTCCAGACTACATTTTGGCTTTAAAGAATCTGACCCCGCAGTCTCTAGTACAGCTAACTCCAGTTCTTCTTCCTCAATAACTACATTAGATCTTCTTTTCTGAGTAACCTGCTCAGTTTGCTCACCATCCAAGAGGGGTGGGCTACTTTCTTTTTCCCCTACACATCCTTTCTGCTTCAAGAAAATGGAAGCTATTTTTCTAGAGCCTTTCTGCTCCTTATGCAATGGAGCTAATCTGGGGGGAATGGAATGAACTTGGGCAAGGACAGTTACTGTTCTAAGTGGCAGCTGTTGAGATTCCTCACACCTTTCTGGGTCACCAACAGCATCACTTTTGTCCACTTCATTTGCTGTAGCAGGATTGTCTGTGGTTGGCTTTGTGTCTTCTTCAGTGTGATCTATGTTATCTTCTCCCTGACTCTTCAAGAAGTCCTCAAATGACACTGTTATTATACTGTTATTTACCTGTGACGTCGTGTCATCAAAACTGGAAGCACTAATAACAACGTCATGCTCTGCTATTGTAGGAGATACCAGCTTTTTCTTATCTTCAGTTCCCTTTTTACACTTTTCATTCGTCTGGTTTTCAGATGGAAAACTTTCAGACAAATCCATATTTACTTTGTGATTCCTTTTGCTTGATTTTCTTACCCTATTTTTTCTTCCACTTATTTCAGAAGCAGCTTTCTTTGCGTTTTTTCTGTACGTAACAGCATTTGAGAAGTTCTCCCTTTGCACATGATCTTCTAGTTCTCTTGCACCTTTTTGGTCAACTAAGGTACATGTAGCTGTAAAATCACCGCTGTCTTGTTTCAGTCCTGTTGTTTCTCTGCTGCCATCACTACTCATTTCTATTCCATGTTTATCCTCAGATCCTTTCATCTCCTTTGGCTTATTATTTAAATTAACTCTCTTCCCTTTCCTCTTCCTCTTTAAAGGTGGTTTAAAAGGTGACTTACACTCTTCATCATCAGCATCAAATGGTGCTGTATTTTCTCCGGCTACAAGTGGCAATGTGGATTTCTCATCTACAGCTGTCTTCTTAAAGTAATCCAATATGTTGTTGGGTTTTGGCGGCGACAGCACTTTATCCACTGGTTTTGCTAAAGGTGAAAAGTATCTCGTGATTGTCTCCACAGAAGTATCTTCCTCGCGCCGTTTCTTGCATGGCTGTGGAAAAGTTCACCATGAATCTTAGTTTTCAAAGAGATAACTCAGTGCGGTGATATAGAGCAGCACAGGATCTATGGTCTGCATTAGTGACACTAGTACTTTCCCAAAGGATAAGCCTCTCATGTCAGTGCGTTAAGACTGTGCGCGCATCAACTCACCCCCATGTTTTCAACAGCCACCTAACCTTGAAACAACGATTCTGCCCTTTCATGAATAAAAACCCTGTTCTGGAACTCTGAGGCCACCAAAACTGGAAGCGAACACAAGGTCTCCAGACCTCCACATATCTCACAGTACCGGAGTTCAGAAACTGGCAATTCAGGTGATCGATCTGGTGGTTACCTGGAGATGTTCACCAGAGCATGTCGCAGAGGATTCCAACATCCCTTAAAGATGTACGGTCCCACTGTAAGCCTCTGGTGTACCTTAAGGAGAAACTCCACCTTCTGAAACACTTAAAGGGAATGAATACAGAAGAATTCGTATCTCTTATCATAATTTAGAGTGTGGCACTGGCACAGGGTGCCCAGAGGAGCTGTGGCTGCCCCATCCCTGGCAGTGCTCAAGGCCAGGTTGGACACAGGGGCTTGGAGCAAGCTGCTCTAGTGGAAGGTGTCCCTGCCCGTGGCAGGGGTTGGAACCCTAAGGTCCCTTCCTACCCAAACCGCTCTGTGACCCTGTGATGTGCACGACTCCACCAAAGATGACTCACAAAGGCCTCTTTAACTCTCCTACTTCATTAAACCCCGATGTCTCCTGAGATCCCATCACTTCATCCGCTACCACCGCTCACAGAGCTGCCGGTGCCCGCCTGCGGAGCCCCCCAGAGACAGCTCCTGACAGCCCGGCCCGCGCTGACGGTGCCGGGGCAGGGCAGCGCCCTCCCCCCGTTACAGCCGCGCACCACAAAGGGGCTCCCCCCGCCCCCCATCCCCGTCCCGCCTTCCCCTCCGCGTCCCCCCGCACCTGAGCGTCGCCGTCTCTGCCGGGGAGGGGGGCGGCCGCCGCGGGCACGGCGACCCTGCCCACCATGCCCCGTGCGCGCGGGAGCGGGGCCTCAGCCGCGGCGGGGGGGGGCGGCGCTGGCGCTGGCCATGGGGGCGGGGGGAGCCTGTCAGGAGCGGGCCCGGGCGGGCAGAAAAGCGCGCGCGGGACGGGATTCGGAGCTCCGCGGCGCACCACGTGACCCGCCCGCCTTGCCCAACGGCCGCTCGAGAGCCCGCGTCACGTGAGGGAGGCGAGCGGGTCCCCGCCCCGCCCCTTTTCCCTTCTCCCCGCCCACCCCGGGGGAATGGGGGGCAGGTCACGTGCCCGCAGAGCCACGCCCACACCTCCGCCTCGCTGTCAGTCCGGTTTTCGCGCCGCGGCGCGGAGAGGGGCGGGGCTGGTGACGTCAGGCGGGTTGGGCACGGGGCGCGAAGAGGGACAGTATTGGCCGCGGCGCGCTGTGTCCGCCCGGCGCCCTGTGGCAGCGCGCGCCTCGCTGTGCGCCATGTCACCCGCGCCCCCTCGCAGGCCGGCGCTGCCGCCGCCGCCCGCCCCGCCGGCTCCCCGCTGCGCTCGCAGCTCCGCCCCGCGGGGCACGGCGCCCGGATGTGCGGCCCTTCCGGCGGCGAGGCCCGCCCGCCGCCCCGCCCCGCCCCGCCCCGCGGGGTGCCTCGCCGCCGTGGCTGCCCATGGAGGCCGACGCGGAGGCCGAGGTGCGGTTCCTCTTGCAAGAGGCTCGGGAGAGCATCGAGGCGGCGCGGAGCTACCGGCGGGAGCTGGAGCAGCGGCTGCGGGGGCTGCACCAGGCGCGGAAGCAGGTGGAGAGGCGGGACGGGACGGGGCTGCCCGGGCGAGCGGTGGCCCCGGGGCTCTCCGGCAGTGCTCACCGCGGGGCGGCCGCGGTCAGTGAGCCTGCCCCGGGCAGCGGCGGGGCCGCTTCTCTCCCGGCGTGTTTATCCGTGTCTGCAGGGTGCCGGAGCTCGGCTCGGGCGTGCAGGGAAGGAGGAGGGCGGGGGCTGGGGCGGGCGGTGCTGCCTTGGCCGCCGCTTGTCGCCTCGGTGGGTGCTGGTGGCGGAGGGGGGACACGGGGATGGGCAGATACAGAAAGTGTCGGGAAGAAGCGGTGCGTGTGTTTGCTGACCGGAGCCTGGCTTAATGGGGTCATGGGGAGGCGTTTAGGCAAGAATAAAGGTGCTTTAAATGAACTGTTTTCTAAGGCAGCTGGGATGCTCGCCTGTATTGTAAAGGGAGCACCATGCCTGTCTTCTCACATCTAAAGGACACCCGTCTAGGCAAGTTGCTCTAATCGGTCACTATCGTGAACTCTGCTGTGCCCATGCACCAAGCCCCGTGGCTCACGTACTCTGTGGGTCACGTCTAAGTGTTGCCAGCATTCCAGGTTAGCTGGTTTTTCTGCAGCTGTGCACTGGAACCACAGGAGGGTTCTCATTGGGACTGGTAACCCACCCACCCACCCCATGCTGGAGATGTGTGGTGAGATAGGCTAATGTGGGCAGGGAGATTGCAGGGAGCCAGTGGAAGGCTGGCTTCTCTGCTGAGACATCCTTCAGGGGTTGTAGTTTCTGTAGACTAGAGCCAATGCCTATCTTCAGTTTCAGTTCTGCAAGGGGTAAATACCCCCACCCCCCCTCCCAAACTAAACTCAGAAGATGTATTTGTGGTGATCTGATAACTTTTCTGAAGCAGATTCCATTAGCATAGAGATCTGCTATAAATCTGCCAGGGTAGTGTCCTGCTGCCGAGTGAATGTGTGCGATCACTACACATCAAATTAGTCATCTTGCAAACCACAAGCTATTTAAGAAACTGATTTGGTCATGACTGTCTTTAATCCAAACGTTGTCGTCTCGGAGTGTTTCCTGATAATCAAAATGCACTGGGAGGGAGCCAGTTTGCCTCTCTGCAGTGGCTGGGAGTGCTTATTTAGCTTAGCTTGCTTTCCTTTTAATCCTTGGTGGAATTGCTTTGCTCGTGTGCATGTTTCTGTTTTCCCTCTTCCCATACTCATGACCACGTGCTGTTTTGTCTGCGAAGAATCAGCCAGGCAACACATCCAAGAATTCCCGGTGTGCAGAAGTGCTGGATGTCCTTGACTGGGGTTCAGATAACGGAAGCTTTATTATTTGGGGGCTGGTGGGCTGATGTAATAGGGAAGGCGGCAAACTTCACACTGCTCTGCATGCTCAGGGACTTGCATTTCCTCTTCTGCGTAGCCAGTGCTATCTGTAAGCCTGCGGCTGACTTGTTGAGTTTGTGTGTGCATGCAGTGGAGGTGGTGGGCTCAGAGAAGTGCCTGTTCTGTCTCCTTCCACCCCACCCCTTCATGGAGCTAAATACTTCCTTTTTCTCCTAAGCACTGAAATAACAAGAGAAGGGAAACCGAGCTGTGTGGCAGCTGCGGAGCTTCATGACTATTACTTGAAGAGGAAATTTGTTTTACCTAACCAGAGAGCTTCCTGTGTCGGTTGTCTGTACTTCTAAAGATCTAGAAATTACGTGTAAGGCCATGCGCATGTTGCAGCGTTTCCTTGTGTCTGTGGCTTAGAAGAGTTGTTCACTGGGAGATGTTTACTTCTGGCTGTTGCATCTTTAGCTCAGGGGTGTTCATATGCGTTTTCTTCCCTGAAAGTCAGATTCAGCAAGTTTGCAACCATTTTAATAGGCACTTGTAGAAACTTCTGTGGTCTGGCTCTTCCCGAATCAAACCACCCTTGCCGTGCACCCTGCCCTGTGACCCTGGAGCACAGACAAATCCAAGGTGGCTATTTGGAAAAGAAAATATAAAGCAAGCAGTTTACAAGGATTTAAAAAGTCCAGTAAAGTGACAGGACCTGGGAAAGTGCTTCTAGGTCTTCTAAAAGCCTGGTGTCTTCTTCTTTCCAATGAGGATTACCTGCGTATGATGGCAGAGTGGGGTTTGAACAGGATTGCAGCAGTTTTGGAGGGTGGGAGGGTGAAGACCTACTTTGGACTTTTCTGACAAGAATTCCTTGATTGAAGTACACAGTTTGTGTTTGGCTTAGTTAATATGCTCTTCCCCTTGTCCAGGCTAGTACATGTACCAAAAATGACTACACTGGTTTAACTGCCAATGGTCATTTTTTAAGGCTGACTTCACACACAGCCTTTCTCCAGCAGATGCAGATGAGGTTGTTTAGAAAAACAGAAGATGTGCGTGGCCTTTGCCTCTATCCTGAATCCTTCTTTCCTGTTAACCTGAATTTAGATCAGAGAAAGTGCAGCATTGACCAGAGATGTACTTGAGCAACATTTTAATGATTTGAAAGGGACCCTGAAGAAGCTGTTGGACGAGCGCCTGATGTCACTGCTGCAGGAAGTGGATGCTATAGAACAAGAGAGCATCAAACCCTTGGATGAATGCCAGAAGTTAATAGAGCATGGGGTTAGTACGGCTGATGATCTGCTCCGGGAAGGTAAGGCAGCACCTAAGCAGTTACCTTCCCTGCTAAGTGTGGTTACGCTCACTGTTGATGAGAAACATGAAAGATGAAATGGCCCCTGGATGGGGGAAAAAAGTCTCCAGAAAGTCTGAGGATGAGGCAGACAGTAATGGACATGTGGAATATTACCATAAAGGCCAGTTTGTGCCTTGCTGATTCTAAATACCTAGCCAGAAAAGAATGTCACTCTTGCCTGTTTTCCCCACACTGGAGAACCTACTGGGAGCATGTCTGAGCCATGAGTATGTTGGCAGTTTCCTTGCATTGTTCTCATGTCTCAACTTTAACTTTCTTTCAACATGATTTCAGTTTTGTGAACTAAAGGGCACTGAGCAGTCTCACATGAGGAGGAAATGTACCAGCTTCCACTCAGACATGGGCTCTGTGCTGAGAGAGCAGGCTGTGGGAGCGCTGTGCTCCTGTCCACTGCAGTAGTGGCAGCATTTAAGAACTAATCTGGTTGTTTTCCTAGCACCACAACCTCTGGGACAGCTGAGAGTCACCTTGTTCTTGTTTTAAATGTCAAGTTACTGAATCACAGGGTGTTTGCCTGTGTTTTGTATGAGTTTCTATCAGATCTCAGGAGAGCCTGACTAGCTGTGCACTTTTATCTCGTGGGTCACTGTTCCCTCTGTAGCAGTAGTGTTGCTAAGTCATCAAACCAAGCAGGCATTGCGTCTGAGTCAGAGAGGAGTTAAGCCTCCATGGTTATTAAGCCTCCTGCTGCCAATTATGATGTGTGCTTTTCTTCAGAGATCTGTAGCATTTGTAATCCTCCATTTGGAAAAGGACTGAGCTTGCTTATGTTGTAAATTACCCTCAAGTCATCAGATAGGAGAAGGGACCATAAATCTCTGTAAGCTGAAGTGTGGGATGCTACTTTATATGGAAAGCCTATGAAAACATTTATATTTATCTCTACACTTTAATGCATGGATGATGTCCTTCGTTCTGATAATAGTCACATTTAAATTGTAGCAAACAGAAGAATGCTTGAAGTGATTTTTTGCTTTTAAGCTCCTGCTATTTTATTTTCTGATGGGTGAAGGTGCTTTGCTTTTTTCTTCCCTTAAAGCAGGTGGAGGAGGGGATTAATAATCCTCATTTTTGGCATCTGAGCCCGGTTCTGCTACCGTGTGAGACCTGAGGCAAATTGTTACATCTGTTATGGGTGTGTCTACAGGAAGCTTTGAGAGCTTCAAAAGTTGTTGGATAGGCTTTATATTGTTAACTATAATTGTGTTTTCTAGCTTAGAGTCTAGCAGAAGTGCTGAGAATGCTTCATGTGTAATTGGTCGGTCGTGTCAGAACTGGTTACTCTTTGAAGCAAAAAATGCCTGTCTTGGATGTTGTCTCATTAGGAATATTTTTATTCCAGGAGAGAGTGCGGTCCATGGAGACGTGGGACAGCAGAATGAGAAACTTTGCATCTTTACAAAAAAAGCTTTACATATTCAGCTAGATAGGTAAGATACTGACACACCGAGGTGATCCGAGGCAGTGGCACATGTGCCCTTCTTGTGTAGGGGATCTTTTCTCCTTTGAAACAAAAGCCTTCTGCTCTGTTGCCTTAGAAGACTCATTTGAGGTGTTACTGTCCTGTTTGTTTCATAGACTTTGATGGGCCTGGCAATCACAGAATGGAGTAGTATTCAACCTCCATATGTTCTGTAGAAATATAGGCTGTTTATTTGTGAACGATGAAACCGCTCCTTGTGGAACAGCCTGTATTTCAGAGTATTTACTGAGAAACAGTCTGGTTAGGGCTGAAACGCAATGTTTTCTGAGTCTTTTCAGTTTGAAATGCACATGCCAATTTCTGCAGCTGTTCTCTCCCTGCAAATCTGCACAAACTCAAGTGTATGGATGAAATATGAATTTGTAGCAGCAGGACCCTTCCATTACAACAAACTTTCCTTTCTCAGCTTACCAGAAGTGCCCTCCTTGGTTGACGTGCCTTGTTTATCTGCCCAGTTGGATGACTGCCTTCTTACTATATTGAAAAATCAAATATTCAGACATGGAACTGTGGCATCTCGCCCGCCTGTACAGCTGGAGGAATTTGTTGAGAAGCCTGGAGGTATTTTAGTCCGATGGTGTAAGGTGAGTAAAATATCCTCAGTGAAAATCATTCGGAATTCAGTTATGTTGAAAGATGCTGAAAAAGCCACTTTGATTCTGTATTCTCTGCTGCCTTTGAAAGAATAATCAACTCCAGTGTGTAGTTAGAAACTTTAGAAGAGATTTTTGTGTTGGTGGCCTCATTTAAAGGCAAGATTATCTAGTGATGTTGTGGTTGGCACTGGGGTTTGTGCCTGCTTGGCAGGGACACTTGTGTGCGAGACTCTTGCTGTTGGGCTCTACCTGCTCCTATCTGTGGGCAGAAAGGGCTGACACACCAGTGCACCGCTCCCTCGCAGTCTGCTTCCCTGAGTGTGGAAAGTCAGGAAGGACAGCTGAAGGCACTGCTACCCCATGCTTAAGCAAGTGCCAGGTGTTGAACAAGCAGGAAACAACTCCTTCATATACCCTTCCCACTAAAGAAACACCAGGGTGTGATCTGTCTGTGGTCATGATGTACAAACAAGGCCAAGAAATCCTGGTGTGTGTGTTTCTGACAGGTGATTCACAAGTAGCCGTTTGTGCTGTGGAAGCAAGCGCTTTGTCTGTGTGGCAATAACAGACTGAACTTCTTTTGCTGGGGTGATGCTTTTGTTCCCTTTGAAGACTCTTCAGCAGACTCAGGATGAGGATGATGCTGGGCCTGTTCTGTTATGTTTTTACCCCTACGCATGTTTGTGTTTTTAGGGTGGTTCAGAAGATAGAAAATATTTTAATACAGGCATTAGCCAGTCAAGTAGCTTTTCTTTTCAACACCCGAAAATTATTTTTGGGTAAATGACTGCTGTGCTCTGTTGTGGTTTCGTTGTTGTTGGACAGCTCTGCGCTCCTTGGCAGCATTGTACAAGCTTGTTCTAGCAACAGCCAGCAGTTGGTCAGCCACCCTTACCTTGTGAAGGATGTGGACTGAGACTGTAAAGCCGTGTCACATGTGGTCTGATTTGCTGTGCTATAGAGGAGTTTGCTGAAGTTGGCCATCTCCATCGGAGAGTAGAGCCGTGGAGGGTTGGTTTTTGGGGGGAGGATATAGTGATGATAATCTCTTTGGGCTTAAAGATGTCAAAGAATTGGAAATGATTTCTTGGAACAGTTTATGAAGGATAATAGTGGGTTTCCCTTGCTGTCAAAAACTGGCACTGAATGTCTTCTGCAAATTTGCCTTCAGCTTTTGGCTGAAGGATCTTGTTATATCGCTGCTAGATTGAAAAGCCTTCTGTTAAATGCTATTTCTCTACATACTTTTAAACTGTAATTGAATAATTCTTACAGTTGTCTTTGTATTAGTTAGTTGAGACAGATCCTATTTTCTGTAAGACATGCTTTCTGCTCCTTAATACCTTGTGACCCTGAGTCGCCTTTGATGGCTTCCTGCAGCACTAGCTGTATATGTGCCACTTCAGGGGCAAAAGGAGAGAAAAGAGGGGGTCCTTTATTAATGCAATAAATGTTTCTGTAGGTGGATGAGGACTTCATACCGCAAGATTACCGACTGCAGTATCGGAAGGGTACTGCCACTCACTTTGAAGATGTGTATATTGGCTCGGAGACAGAGTTTGTGGTGCTGCACATTGACCCCAATGTTGATTACCAGTTCAGGGTCTGTGCCCGAAGAGATGGGCGGCAGGAGTGGAGCCCGTGGAGTATTCCTCAGATCGGCTCTACCACGCTAGTGCCCCATGGTACTATTTCCTTGATGTCCATCTTTGTCTAAAGCCTGTGTCATCAGTGCAGCACTCCTAAAGCTCTGTAGTTGCATGACTTAAGGAGCTGCTTTTTGTATGGTGGTGGGGTGTCCTTAGCTAGTGTGTGTGTGTGTGTGTAAGGTATGATGAACTATCCTTTTATCCTACCATTTAGCCTTTGCTTCCTATGTGAGGGATAGGTAGTGAGCCTTTGCAGCAGGTAGCTCATTGCTTAGCCTTGGAAAGCATCAGTGAGCCAGAAGCAAAGCGTTTTCCTTTCTTTCTCTCTCACCCCTACCTAAGCATGTTTTGATGGCTGCAGTCTCACAACAAGCTTTTGTCTTGGAGAGATAAAACCCCACATTTTGTCTTCTCGCAGATTTGGGCAGTGGGTAATGAAGGTTTTCCTTTGCCTACTATACGGCTTCAGGGAGCGCAGCAAAGAGTGAACTTCTGTTGAACTCTGTGAGCTGGGAAATACTTTTTGTAATTGCAAATCATTTGAAAAAGAAACCTCTCCATCAGAGGCACCAAATCAGCCCCTGTGCTTACCATAGCTTAAGCTTTGTATGAAGTGATTGAGTGGCCATTGCGACTGACTTGATTCTGCACAGACAGTAGGGAGTTGAGTTGAGGTTCATGCTTCTCATGCCTTTATTCTTTTCCCTGTTTTCTCCTTTGAAGAATGGACAACTGGTTTGGAGGGATACAGCCTGAGCAGTCGGAGAAACATTGCACTGCGAAATGATGCCCAGTCATGTGGTGTGCTCTACTCCAAAGCTCCTACTTATTTCTGTGGGCAAACATTAACATTCAGGCAAGTACTTTCTGGGGAGCTGTTGTCTGGTGCATCTCCTGTGAGCTGTTACATCTGAAGTGTATGTAAACCTGAGTCATGGTGTGTGTGTGTGTGAGTTTATATCAGCTCAGCCCCAGCCAAGGTAGTGTGTCTGTGTGAAGTCTGAACTTCCCTCTCTTTATACTTCCTGTCTCTTTAGGAAAACACCTGATGTTTTTGTAGGACCTACATCTATCTAAAACAGCAAGAAGTGAGCTCCAGAGGGATGCTAAAATATAGCCCATGCTGAGCAAATCTGTGGAATGTTGAGCTTCCCTGAGTTTTGAAGCAGCTGTTGCTGGCTGGTCAGATGTCAGTGGAGGTTTGCCACTGGTTCTTTTTAACCTTGTGTCAGTGGGTACTTTCCTTCCCAGTCTGTCCACAGGCTCTGAAGGCTTTGAACTTAAAAACATTTTATGTGCAGTTGGGACAGATAAGGATGACAGTCTGGCACTGATGTCCTTAAAATCTGAGGTAAATAGTGCTGATCAAACTACTGCTTGAAACTGGCATTAGAATATCCTGAGTGGAGAAGGGATCTGGTGAAGTTCAGTTTGACACAGAACGTGATTTAAAAACCTCAGCAGCTTTGCTGTCTGAGATGCTGCTGTTTAATGGGGTACGAGGAATGTCCTTGTGGCTATGTTAGTTGTAATTACAGACCTCAGAGCCTCTGAAGCTCTATCCCATCTTTCTCTGGTTAAATAAAACTACTTGCTGTACAGTAGGCAACCCTCAAAGGCAATTTAAGGGGGCTGTTAATGGTATTTTTGTAACTTATTCCATGGTGGTTTATTTTTCCCTTCCTGGTAATGAATTATCTTGGGATGGTTGTAGTATGAGGGTGTATTTGGTTGCCTGTCTGAGATGGGATAAAAGGATCTAAAGTTTCTATTTGAAATCTGTTGCTGGATTTGACATTTCTTGGCTCAGAAATGCCTGTGAAATTAAAGGCAGAGCTTTGAGGTTTCCCTTGGTTCTGTTTCAGACCAATGCCTTTTATCTTTTTTTATTGGTAGCACATGTAAATCTTTTGCCGTATATTTCGGTAATGTGGACTCCTCTCGAAGAGGGGATTGTTTCAGGATGGCAGAGCACTGAGAAGCACATGTCCACAAGAACTATAATGACACAATCTTGAGACTGAAGATGACCTCAAGTATTGGTTGTGTTCCTCATCCAAGAGTAGCTTCTTGTTTGCAAGTGTGAGGTTTTGCACTACAGGGAGGTGTAGTACTTGGTGTTTGGCTTTCTCCATCTGTTGAAGCAAAAGTGTATTCACAGGGGGGTAAGTGGCTTTTCAGAGCAAACCAAGCAAGCAAGGTTCATGTTACAGATGATGTTTGTAAAGCAGCTTTGTCTTCTTGTGTGTTCAGGACGTGGGCAGCTCATCAGTGAAAAGTGAAGCTGTGGTGGACACAATGCTTTGCATCTGCTTCTTAAAGACAGACTGCTTCAGTTGTCCTCTGAGGGTGGGGCATTTGGACAAGTTGTAGGAAAACATCATTGCTTTAAGTCAAGGCTCATCCTGTTTCTTTGCAGCCTTCAGGGAGCTGCCCTTAGGAAAGGGAATGAATCTCCGCAGTGACCTGCTCTGCAGCTCTCTCTGAAGCTTTTGCTTGTAGCGCGGAGCCACGCTTATTCTGGCCAGGCTGGTGACTGGGATCATCCAGCAGCAGCCCTTGTGAAGATCACACTGACTTTGTCAGTAACCCTACTGAGAGCTAATGCAAAGAAAGTGTGTGTGTGTGTGTGTGTGTGTGTGTGTGTGTGCGATCACCCCCAGATTTACTTCTCTGTGCCCTGAGACAAATGGAAACTGGTGGTGGTTGAACTGGTTCGGGGTCTGTGTGCTGCAGTGGCAGAGGCAAGGTTTTGCTTCGCAGCATGGGAAGTGGTGAGAAGGGATTTGAACAATGTAATGTTCTCCTGAGCATTGTTCTACCACACAGTGTGGATACAGATTGATGTGATAGAATTCCTACTTTTTAATGGGTTTATAGTTACGCTTTTCAGGTCATTCTTGTGATTGTACAAACACTTATTTCCACCCCAAAACTCAAGAAAGGCTTCTTTAACTAGGGATGGAGTGAATTAGTGTTCACATTAGGCACAAAGTTGACAGCTCAGTAGCTGATTACGAAGCCTCCCCAACAACTCAGGCAGAGTTTAAAATCTAGAGTAAAGTACCAAAATGAATTTGAAATCTCCCTTAAAGTTGTTTTGGGCAAATGCTGTGGATCACTTTCAAAGTGAAAGCTTCTTGGATTTTCATTTTTCCCCACTGCTTTTTAGTACAAGGCTTTTGCTATCCCAGTGATGTTCCCATGGGACTGAAGAACCTAATGGAGTGCAAAAGTAAAACATGGTTCCAATTTTATCTTCCCTGTTTGCTTGAAAGAGTTAACCCATTGTGTCCCAGCCTGCTGCCCAGTTTAATTTCCAGCTCTGAAAAGCTTCTGCTGAAGTTTTCCTTCATAACCACGATCGGTGCTGTTCTCTCCAGCTGTAATGACATAACCAGTTTTACTTTCTAGAAAGGACCATCTGAGTTTCCCGAGTCACTCATCTCTCTGATATGATTTAGCACCTTAGGGAGACAGCAGTACAAGAGAAATGACTCCAACACAGAAGAGCCCTTTAGTGTACAAAGTGCAGCCCTGTTCCGCTGCTAAGGCCCAAAGGGAGCTGCATCCCAGGGCACTTGTTCAGAAATTCTTTCCCAGGACCAAAATCCAAAGTGCAGCTGAGCAGAAGCCAGGCTTGTAAATGCTCTTCTCGACACTGGCTGTAGTACACAGTTCATAGAATCATAGGATCACAGAATAGTTAGGGTTGGAAAGAACCTTAAGATCATCTAGTTCCAACCCCCTGCCATGGGCAGGGACACCTCACACTAAACCATGTCATACATGTACACATGTACACAGTTGCCCCAAGCTGATTTAGTAAACCCAACCAACAACAAAAACTTCCCAAACTCAGTAACCCACCACGACCAGAACACATCAGCCTTCCACCTTACCCCTTTGCAGCGGGGCTGAAACACCCCTGTTTCAGTCACACTATTAAATACTTGCTGGAACAACAGCTGGCTTACCCTTATATGTGGTGCTGACCAGCAGTCTGGTGTAGATGATGGTAGATTGCAGTTTTGTGCTTAGCGGTTGTTTTAAGACAACTGGAAGTTGTTCCAGATGACTCTAAGCTGCAACAGTGGAGAATTTTATTAAACAGCAATGAAGGTTTGCCGGAAGCAGATTGATGTTTTGTTCAGGTTAATAGTGAAGAGTGTTGGTCAGTGGAGCTGTTGGGAAAGCTGGTAGGACCAGTTCAATTGGTAGGACTTCAATAGGGATCTCCCCAAGAGGGTGGGTGAACCTGCTGAAAGCCCAGGAGCATGCACAGAGGTCTGGTGCGGCAGGGTCTGACTGGGTTTCATTGTATGTTTCGATTCAAAGTTTGACTTGACTTTTTGCTTGGTAGAATTGAAACCGTGGGACAGCCAGACAGACGAGACAGCCTGGGAGTGTGTGTGGAGCAGCAGAACGGCTGCGATTCCCTGCAGCGGGATAAAGCCGTGTGCATTAGCACAAACGGTGAGTGAATTGTGTAATGAAGAATGTGGTACTTCGTATTTCCCCAAACCTGTGGCCCCTGGTTACTTGCATCCCTGGATCACATACAAGCAACTTCATCCAGCTTTTACGTACATATTGCTTGTGCAGTTAAAATCTTTGGTGAGATCTTGGATCAACTTTTCCTCCTTGCAGTTACTAAAACGTGTTTGATGTCACAAAGAGGAACAGGGCAGGGTTATTTTCCTTTCCTACTTGCCTGCAAAAAGCAGGGAGACACAGTATTACATGTTAGCACATACACAAAGGGAGCAGTGATGTTTGCTATCTGGACTGTTTCAGGGGCAGTGTTTGTAAATGGGAAAGAGATGACAAACCAGCTGCCTGCTGTTACTTCTGGATCGACAGTGACGTTTGACATGGAAGTGGTGCACTTGGGGACTTCCAGCAACGAGGGAGGAAACTTCAAGCTCCGAGTAACCATTAGCTCCAACAACAGAGAAGTGGTCTTTGACTGGGTACTTGATCAGTGCTGTGGCTCTTTGTACTTTGGATGTTCGTTTTCATACCCAGGCTGGAAAGTTTTGGTGTTCTAGCAGCGAGTAAAGGGATTTTTGTTCTTGCTGTAATGTGTAATGTTAAAACCTGGGTTTCCAGTTGTTTGGCGTCAAGAAGCTGTTAACAAAACCCTGTCCTTGTACTACTTGAACTCCACTATATTGTACTTCCTACTGGATTGATTCATTTAAACAAGTAATTGTGAAACATTGGATTTTTTTACTCTGGAAAAAGTTAGAAACAGGCATTTGCATAGGCAGATTAATTTAAGCAGTCCACCAGCCCTTTCCCTTTTCTCCTCCAGACTTGATTTTTGTCAGTATTTCATTGTACTCTAGTCTCAGGGTACGTGTGTTGTGTAGAATTAACTCTGCTTAATGCTGCTGTTCTGTGAAATAAGCCTGTAACCATTTAGGGGGTGAAGGGGTGGTAATGGACCAAAGTTTTATTTATACCACTCAAAACAAGCACAGTATTTAGAGCAGCGATGTCCTGCTATGCTTCCTTGTGCACAATGCTGCCTTAATTGTATGAAGGGACAGTGGGTTCTGCATGCAACAGCCCTTTCTTCCACACACGGTACTGTTCATTCCTCCAGAGCAAGGACTTCTGAGCCATAATGTGTGTTTAAATATGTAGCCAGTCTGTTAATGTCTCACTTAAGTGCCTTATTCCCAGATATTTCTTGAACTGTTGTTCACTTGGAATATATTTTTCTAGAGTAGTTCATGGTGATGCTAACATCAGCTTGATGTGGATGCTCGCTTCAGACTAGACCAATACCTAGTGTAGGAACGTTATCCTTATCTGCTCTCAATGTCTTCTCTAGTTGAAGCTACCATCAGAGCAAGTCTTAGCAATTCAGTACTGAGGCATGATGTGCAGAATGGCAGCTGTGATTCCTCACAGAGTCCCTCTAAGACTTGGAGCCAGCCTTCTTTCTATTGTCCAACAACAGACAGATCTAACTTGTGGCAGTCAGAATGGAACAGAGGATGATAATTTACTCTCTCCTCCATGTAATAGGATGGAATAAGAAACTATGATTGATGAATTGACTTTGAATTCAGAAGTTACATGAAGTTACCACTATTTCCCCTAAGGACCAACTAAGATTCAGAATGAGTCTAGCAAAGAGAGCCTATTCCTTGTCAAAAGATTGCAGTACTACTGCATTTAAATCCTGTTTCTAAGTAACACTCACTGGGGGTCATCTTACCTCAAGTTCAATTAAAATTAAATATATTTTAGTAGGTTAGAATAGTGATATTTTTATGCAACCTGGACAATCACTCTGGCCTTTCAGTGTCACCACACTTCATTAGCTTTCTACACTAGCATAAAAAGCCTGAATTTACATTGGATGAGCGTGCCCCATACTCATGTTCTCAGTACAAAAAGATCACTCATCCTGCTGCATTTTTTCCCCAGGGGTACAAGAACTTGAGAATAGGGGTTAGTATTTATACCAGTTACAGGAAAGCAAATCATGAGTAGAGATCCAGACAGATGCAAAGAGCTCACACAGGACAGAATGAGGTTAGAATTTCCTTTAAGACACAAAGTGAGGAAGATTGGGCACCTGCAGGTAAGATTATCCAGTGTTAGCAACAAAAAGCCTGCAGTACTATCAGTTCTTCAAGCTTAACTATTTCACTGTTGGGAAGTACAATACCAGCTGAGCCTGTACTTTCAGGGGGAAGAGTTACCCTGTGAGGACTATTTTCAACTACTTTTAAAATACAGTTCTTTTCCTGTAGCCAGGATCAAACAGTACCAGTCCTGTTCAGAGAGGGTCAGGGTGGCACTCCAGCTTGCAGCCAACCTAAATCTTGCTCCACTTATTAATGCTGGTAATTTTACTTCCTGCTGGTAATGTTACTTACTTCAGGTGTCAGGTACTAGTTGTAACTTAGTACTTTTACCATATGAAAGCTAAAATAGTGAATATCTACACTTGGGAGGTACCAGCAGGTCAGGTACCTTTTTGTCTGTGTTTGGAGGAGCATCAGACTTGATTCTGCAGGATATTTACTTGCATATTAGAAAATAAAGCTTAAGCCTTGAATTCAGGTACTTCCAGAGGTGGTAACACTGTGACAGTTCATTCAGAATATATACATGAAGCAGCCCGAGGTGACTGTGAAGGGCTGGAAGAGGCCCCTGCTGCTCCCCTGGGGAGCAGAGGATGGCAATAGAAATAGTTTCTCTGACTTCAGTCTTTAGCTGTTGTGTGTTCACCAAGGGCAGCTGCCAATAGGAGCTGGTTTGGGGTTTCTCTTGGGGTTATTTGTTGTTGTTTAACACAGCACAAGCCTAACTGTCCAAACTGCAGATCAGGTACTGCTCAGCCACCCCTTAGTGCTGCACCTTTTAAACCTGTGAGGGGTAGAGAGTCTCAGGGCAAGAGACCTGAGTAATAAAGTACAAAGTACATAAAGAAGCGAAAGAGGCTTGAATGAGAAGGGGTGAGATTCTGTTCTTCCACAGCAGAGTTCAGCTAGACAGAAAACTTGCCCCTTCCTTTACTTTTCCCCCCTCTAGCCCTTGGAGCCCTGCAAGGAGCAGAATGCTGTGTGTAAAATGCAGTCCTGAAAGGTGTTCTCTTAAGCTGGTGCATTCACTTACCTCAACCAAGGATTCTGCATCAAGTGAAAGTTGAGTTTTTTTAAATAAAGTTTTATCCCTCAGTGGTGTGGGGTCTGGCTCATTATTTATGGGGTATAAACCTGAGTGTTGCTGCATTCTAATAGCGTAAACACATGGATTCTGTAGCACTGCAGGCAGCATTAAAGAGAATTTCTCACTTTGTTCCAGGTTTTTCACTGTGTATTTCCCTTTCAGCTGCAGTTCAGCTTTTGACTGGCAGTTTTTGCAGCACTACTTCCATCGTAGCTCATTTTTCTCTTATTTTACACTGTTCTATTACTTATATGCTGTTTTTTTTATATATATATATATATACATACATACACTTACTACCGTTCCATTAATTAATTAATACTGTTATATTAAATGGTGCAACTCTCATACAATAGCAGGTTTTGGCCACTGGTACTGAGCAAGCAGCAGAGCTATTCAATCCCCTTTAGATAAAAATCAGTGTTGAACTAAGGCACAGTTCTGCTTTACCCACAGCCTCTGCCACTTTGGTCTCTCCTAAAAGAAAAATAACTTGTGAAACCAGTAAGGTTTCTCTCATAAAGACACTATTCATATAAAGACTTTTCTTCATAAGGTGCTTTCTCCTGCAGAGTGCACCTTCAGCTCAAACCCAGCAACCTGGGAGCAGTACTTACCAACTTCATCCAGAGCGCGTGTGTCCTCAGCTGTCAGTCACACAGCATCAGATTTATAAGCAGCAGGACACCTCTGCTCAAGCACTGGTCAACGATGGCACCAAACTGCTCTGTAAATTGAGAAATACTTCACTATGAACAACATTCCATGCTCAGAGGTAGAATTAAACTGCTGGTTTGGGGTAGTGGGGGTTGGTGGAGTACTCACAACAGTTCAAGCTATCGGCAGCTGCCAGGCCATGGATCTTTACCCCACCCTCCACTTAACTAAGGACTACACTGAGGACACATTCACAGCAACATACACTTAAGGTTAACAAATCCATCTAACAGTTTTGAATATCATATTTAATGCACTGAATTAAATATTCAAGTCAGATGTTAGGTTCCAGCCTGGGGTTCACAGACCTGTTGTGTGAAGATGATCACCAAACACAGAACATCATTAAAATCTGCCATGACCATATTAAAGGCAGGATTAGAAGAACCTTGCCAATTTCACAGACAAAAGCATACCTGAGAAGTGTGGCCCGAAGTCAAGTTCACAGACTGTCATAGCCTGTATTCCAGTACCTGAATTATTTCTTACATGGAAAAAGGTTTTCAGTGGTTGCTGTTGAACAGTCACCATTTGGCAACAGAGTGCAATTGCTGACTCATTTTGTTCTGTTTGTGTCCATCCTGTACCACCCCAGAGAAGCACCATTTAAAACTGATGCCAATTTAAACTTAACCCAGTATCTTGTACATTGTTTGAAACATTACCCACTTGCATGTAAAACACACAAGTCTTGACACATCACGAGTGACGTTTCATTGTCAGTTACATGAATTACAGCTCTCAACAGCTTGCAGGTAGAGCTCAGGTATTCAGCTCTGCCCCCAAGGCAGGAGAATGAAAGGTTTGATAATCTCACTGAAAACCTGGCAATTTATGGAGACACCTTAAATATAACAAAAAGACTGGACAGAACGTTAAGATTGTAACATCTGGCAAAGGAAGAACCGGTTTCACATTTTAGAAGGCATGCAGAAGAAAAGGTTAATACAAGGTGCTGCTTGTGGCCTTTCTGCATGCACACACAATGACTGGACAACCATCATGGCAGATTTTATATTACTGAACTTTATGTACAAAAGCCTCTTTCAAATAAAACATTTAATGTAAAAACAATGTTTCATTTCAACAACTGAACTGGTTTTGCTTCTTGTTCTGGGGTTTTACTTTTACATCTCCTGTACCATTCCAATTCTTTTCAACCAGCTTACATGGCATCTTCAAACTCTTATCAAAGGTACATATAGAAAAGGCATCTTTATAAATAGAAAACAAAGGGACTTTTTCAGCTTTTATTATAAATTGACATGACATACAAAGTTTACTGGACAGAAGTAATTTCATTACTATTTTTGGGGGGATCACCAACTTTTTGTGCAAACAATGCTAGCCTTCTTTTAAGCATTAAGAGCATAACTGCTTAAGAAATGACATAAGCAATAATTCTAGAACTACATCTCCCCTAAAATAATCTATTTTTTTTTTACATATGTGCACAGCTTTAGCAAATTAAAGCCAGAGAGAAATGCTCGATGGACGATCCAGAGGCGTACTTGGAGTTTGCTAAAACTCAAGAGAGCTGGCAAATTCAAGAAGGTTGTAATGAAAGCTGCAGTTTCCCTCTTTCTTATTTTGTACACAAAAATCAGTGACTAAGAACTTAATACTGGATGACAAATCACATCCACACCATTAGTTAAATAGTCTCACAGTTAAAACACATCTTAAGGACCATCAAAATCAGTATTTACATTTTATAAATTTATGAAGACACCATTAGAAAGCTTATTTACCCCTTCAACAACCAGGGAACTGCATCTCATGGTGATGGAATGAAATAAAAAATTAAAAATACCTGTATTTACAGCAGCATTGTTCCTTTATAAATAAAGAATATGAAAAATGCAATATTTTAAAGGATAATAAAAAATTGAGGTGATGTCACTCAACCACAGTGCTTGCTGGAATAAACCCTTCGGTGCTGATACTGTACCAGTAGTGAAACCACTTTCCATTGGAAAAAATCTGTAAACGTATGCATAAAATGTGTTAACAGCAGTGCAAAACTGCTCAAATATAGTTTAGTCAGCATCTTAGTATCTGTATTGAATACAATACATCACAGAATACTTACATAAGAAGTGCAACACATTTTCTGGTCCAATTTTACAGTGCATTTTTCCCTCAAGAGTGGCATCTCGAAAGCCAAAGCTAAACTTTATGGCCTGGACTTGCAGTCTGTGCTCAGGCAAACAGCAGGCATGAACTTCAGAGGAAGTTAATCCATGTAATGCCTACGTACTGATTATGGACTCTGGGCTTTAGCATGGCACACTATGATGTGGAACCCTGGTCAAAAGAGTTTTA